AAAGGTGGGAAAGTGGGTAAGACGAGTATGACGGGCACAGCGGTTGGAGTTGATGTAACCGCAGCTCAGAAGATATGGAGATCGTTTCAAGCGGTTGGGGACATAGCGTTCGCCTATGCTTACGCCACGGTTCTCATCGAGATTCAGGCAAGTTATCTCAATCAATTTCCTTTTGAGTCTTATTAGCTTTGCATATGAACCTCTTAATAGAATTGTGGGTAGAGATTATTGACAACGACAATCGATTCCCTATGGACCACTTTTTTTTTAAATTTTTTTTGCTTTACCCAAAAGAGTCAAAAAGTAAAGAATCTGTCATTTAGCTTAAAGGTAAAACATGTGCTTATTAAGGACAAAGAGTCACATTCAAAGATATTGTCAATCTCTTCTCCACAACAAACAATGATATGATATTCTTATCAACAGAGTTAGCTTATTGAGTTGACACAACAACTCATAATTTTTTGTCTCTTAATGATCGTAGCTTTCACCATTTAATGACTTGTAGTGTACGGTATTTGGTACCATAGTGTATATGTCGACTAGGTAGCGACAGTTTGATAAGAATAGTCTTGCAAATTAACCAAGAATGTTTTTTGAATCAAAGTATATGAAATGTGGATTAGCCGGGAAGGTGCCCGAGTTCGAGCATCCGCGATGGCCAATGGGAAGGGGACTAACTTAGTTTTGGTCTCTAACCCGAGGAAATTTATGGACCTAGGCCTAAAACTTATTGGTTAACGAAAAGTAAAAATGGATTTTTGTATCACTAACCGGTGAAAGTTTTATGATTTTTGCAGGATACACTGAGATCTAGCCCAGCTGAGAACAAAGCCATGAAAAGAGCAAGTCTTGTTGGAGTATCAACCACCACATTTTTCTACATCTTATGTGGATGCATCGGCTATGCTGCATTTGGAAACAAAGCCCCTGGAGACTTCCTCACGGATTTCGGGTTTTTCGAGCCCTTTTGGCTCATTGACTTTGCAAATGCTTGCATTGCTGTCCACCTTATTGGTGCCTATCAGGTAAAACCCGAAACCAAAAAGAGAAAAGTCAGTTTTTCACACTTTTTCTCAGTTAGCTAATGAAAACAAACCATAACATTTTCAGGTGTTCGCGCAGCCGATTTTCCAGTTTGTTGAGAAAAAATGCAATAGAAACTATCCAGACAACAAGTTCATCACTTCCGAATATCCAGTAAACGTACCTTTCCTTGGAAAATTTAACATTAGCCTCTTCAGATTGGTGTGGAGGTCAGCTTATGTGGTTATAACCACTGTTGTAGCTATGATATTCCCCTTCTTCAACGCGATCTTGGGTCTTATCGGAGCAGCTTCCTTCTGGCCTTTAACGGTTTATTTCCCTGTGGAGATGCACATTGCACAAACAAAGATTAAGAAGTACTCTGCTAGATGGATTGCTCTGAAAATGATGTGCTATGTTTGCTTGATCGTCTCACTCTTAGCTGCGGCTGGATCCATCGCGGGACTGATAAGTAGTGTCAAGACATACAAGCCCTTCCGGACTAGCCATGAATGAGTTTGAGATCCATGAGAGAGTCCTCAAGAGAGTCAGAAATATATGTAGTAGTTTGGTCTTTCTTTTAAACTATCTGGTGTCTAAATCCAATGAGAATACTTTATTGCTAAAACTACATGAATCTCTCTGTATCTACATCTTTCAACCTAATACATATGAGCCTGTCACAGCTCTTCCAAATATAATTAATTTGATCATATAAAACCAGTCGAGCATAATAATAGACACATCTATCTCTTAGTAATCGTATGGTTGAGATCAAATTCGAGTAAAAGTGAATAATTTTGGTAGGCCCTAAACAGATACTAATGAATTAGTGGACTTCGTTACTAGACTACATTTTGGCCATAAGGCCTTACATTTTTCTGACAGTTCCTTAAAAGTTTTTAACATTTTGTTGACATTTGACAAGAGTTGATAACCTAGTGGCTTCCTCTAAATGTCATTCCCTGCTTGACAGTTGATGGGTGTTGAATGCAGCGTTGTAACCACCATAATACTAGAAGGCAAAAGGACAAAGATTTTTTTTTTTTGCTGTTAATAGATACCATCATATTGTAACGTATCACCGTTAGTTTTTTCTTTTCAATAATTAACTTGAACTTCTAAAGTCATAATGACCTTAGCATAGTCTTTAGACAAGATGGAACCATAAACATTTGCAAAGAGACTTAAAAAATTGTTTTTTTTTAATATCAAATCTCTTAAAGTGAGTTTTTCTATCTTCATTAGGATTCCATGTGTTGGTAGATATTTTAAGGAAAATAGAGTAGAAGATGTCGTGTGAATGATGGGAGTTTGGTCGGTTTTACACTTAATACATAGATTATCATAGCCACAAGATTATATATATGGTTAGTTGGTGAGTTATAATTGATAATCCATATATCTTGATCAAATCAACTTTTTTTTCCTTTCTCTAAAATAAATCTTTTTTTTTTGTTTAACTCAAGTAATCTTAAAGACTTTTTAAGCCAAAAAACCTAATCATGGTTCATGGACCCGGGAAAACTATGTTAAAATTCAAACTCCGGTGGCCAAGCAAATCTTATTTCGAGAATGCTTGATGTTTGTTTCAAAGCATACAAACTATGGTTTTGATTAATTAGCCATGATGGCTTGCTTCACTCCACGAGCACATTGCATGTCCAAGAATACCAGGGATGAAATACGTTGTGCCCTCTGGGAGCGAGATTCTACTGTTTCCTCCGGGTCCGGTATATATTGGTGAAATATCTAAAACCGTGCACCAATTAAATCCGCTTTTATTAGTGATTAATTACCACGTTATCCTTCGTCTGATCATACTTGAATACTGTTTAACCAAAAATAAACAAAGCAAGCCGATTTTAACTTATAAGAAGAGTTGAGAACAACTAAATTTTATTACTTACAAAACTAACTCCAGCTTCATCAAGTTTTTTTGTGGCGTATACTAGAGAAAGAAAGCAAAACACCAGATCACGCGATATGAAAAGAGACTTGAGTATAAGAAACCACTCACGGATTATGCCCCTAGAAGAGAATCTAGATATATTACGTACTTAAAACAACCTCTACAACAGCCATCATACATGATGCATTGCATGCCGCACCATTAGACAACAACCTACCACCATCACAAGGCAACTAGTCTATCGAAATGACTTCTTTCCATCTAGTTATAGCATCTAAACGTCTAAAAGAACCAAAACAAATTAGCACGTCGAGGAAAGCATTGTTACTACTACATCTGTAAAAGATGGACACAACTATGAACTATGATAGACTATTTTTATAATGTTTCTTACTTATATTTTATTTTTCTTGAAAAATAACTCATTTTATAACCAAATTAGCTCTTAATCTAGTGGCGCTTCCTAGGACCTTCATAGTACCCTTAGTTCAAGGTCTAATTGGGAGGGATTTAAGAAAAACTTGAATTTCGACGACCAGAGTTAAGCAAAAGTTGGGTCCGCGGCTCATAATTCCTTGAAAGTTAACTTAAAACCCAAAAAAAAATCAAACTCATTTTGTAGATAAAGCTTCAAAAGGTTGAGTCAATGTACTAATATATAAGCCATTTGAATAAGATCATTTGAAACTAATAAACTTTCCTCGTATGATTAGAGTACAAAGCAATAGTTTGCTTCTACTCCAAGCTATCCAAGTATAATCAATTAGGAGAAATTAGCAAGTTGGGAGCTCAAACCAATCTTTAAAGTTTTGTTCTTCCTCGCGATGATAACCTCTTACCTTCTTTTTTCCCCTTTTTTCCTCGCAAATTGTTAACAGATTTTACTTCAAGCCATCAACAAAACTAACAACTTGGCCAGTCCTAATGTTTTAGTCAAAAATGAAAAATATAAGTCCATTATACTATAAGTCCGCTTAGACTTTTTCTTTTTCTTGATTCGGTTGATGTTTTTTTTTAGATTACCCCAAAATTTCGGAAAATACCCATAATCCTTTGATTCTAGGACTCGAGGTCGAGGATGTTAAGTTAATTCCTTCTCCGAAGTTGAAGTTTTCTTTTAAAAGAATCATATCTAGTACATTAGTTCAGCTAGTGTTGTTTGGTTTGTTAATTATGTATACTTTAACAAACAAATAATCTTTACCTTTTGCAATTAGGTAATGCTTGAGCAACAATGTTTCCCTTTTGTAATTACTTATATTTTTTCATGGGTTAATGATTTTCAAACGAAAAAGAAAAACGATTACTATCCATGGATATGACTTGAAGTTATCAGCTATCCATTTTATTCTTCTTCTTTTTCCAATGCGTGTACGGTTATGTTAAAAAATGACATCTTGAACTCGAACTCAAGTGTATTTTTTGACAACTTTATGGTTTAATATTTATACGGCTATGTAAGATTCATAGCTTGGATTATTTAGTTGTAGAGTTATTTGGACATCTTTTTTTTTTTTTTTTTGTAAATATTTAAGTCATCGAGCAAAAAAAATCGTGTTTAATCTATTGTTAACTTAATGATATATAGGAAATTTAATAGAATTAATCTATTGTTTTGCAGGAAAGTAATAAAAATAATTAAATTATTAAAATAATAAAATGTAAAAAAACAAAAAATCTACTGTATATATATATATATATATATATATTTAAAAATGTAAAATAAAATAAAATTAAGCCCTTAAATATTAAAAAGAAATTAGATTAATTAATGTCTGCCGTGTTTAAATATTTTTATTTTCTTTTTCAGAGCACAACCTCCTCCAAGAGACAATATAAAAACCCAGAAAACTAAACGCTTTTATCTGTTCTTCAGGTTTAAGAGGGTTAGAAAAAAAAAGAATTAAAATTTCAAACAGAGTTTGGTTGGTTAGCTGGTCCCGCTGTTTTTTCTTGGAGTTCACTTAAATCTTGCGATCTATTTGAAAAATCCACCAAGAATCACAGAACAAATTGATCTCTGTGTCTCCTATATATAATGAAGAGATTCACAGTTTGCTGCTTCTCAAACAAAATCCATAAGAACAGAAATCAAAATCCAGACAAGGTTTGTCTTTTCCCTTTTTCAAAAGATTGAATCTTTGTGTTTTTTTTTTCGAATTTCTCTGTTACCCATTAGCCAATTTCTCTTGATTTGATCAGGGTCTGATTCTTTTTTGGGTTTTGTTCTGTAAGAAATTAAGAGAAAGCATGGAAATTTCAAGAAAAGACAATGAAGAGGTTAGGGTTTCGATATGTTCCTTTCTTCATAGCCAAGTTTTGTCTATCTTTTCATACACTTTCTTCATTTCTAAGTTAAAACTTTTGAATCATTTGTCTTACTTTCCTCTGTTTAATCATTTTTATGACCAGCCTGAACAGAACAACAACAATGTAGCATCTATTATTGGTTCTGATCGCACCAATGTAATTGTGAATCATGATTTCTCTTCTGGGATGCATTCGTGGCATCCGAATTGCTGCGAGGCCTTTGTTGTCACCGCCGAGACTAATGTCTCTCACGGTGTTATAGACCCGTCAAAGAGCGGTAGCTACGTAGTTGTCACAAACCGGAAAGAAACATGGCAAGGCTTGGAGCAAGACATCACAAGCAGAGTGAAACCTTGTTATCTTTATAAAGTTTCAGCTACTGTTGCTGTCTCTGGACCTGTTCATGGATTGGTAGAGGTTATGGCCACCTTGAAGCTCGAAAACGGACAATCGCAAACAAACTATCAGTTTATCGCAAAGTAAGGCCTTTTTCTATGATTTTGTGTAATGTTGAGACAAAGGATAACATTTGATTTTGAATTTGCAGAACTTGTGTCTTCAAGGAGAAGTGGGTGAGACTAGAAGGCATGTTCTCGTTACCAAGCGTACCAGAAAAAGTTGTTTTCTATTTGGAAGGCCCGTCACCGGGGATCGATCTCCTCATACAGTCTGTTACCATTCATAGCGAAAGCGAGCCTGAGGTATGTAAATTAATCAAATGACCTCGATTGTTTGTTTGCACTATTCCAAATGATAACACTAGTGTTACTAATTTAAAAATTTTCATTTTGTTTTCCTTTTTGGGATTGTGTTTACGCTTTAAAGCTGGACCGTGTTACTGCTGAAGATGAGGCTAATATTGTAGTGAACCCAAACTTTGAAGATGGACTAAATAACTGGTCAGGGAGAAGCTGCAAGATTGTGTTGCATGACTCAATGGCTGATGGAAAGATAGTACCAGAATCCGGGAAAGTTTTTGCTTCGGCTACAGAGCGCACACAAAACTGGAATGGTATTCAGCAAGAGATCACCGGGAAAGTTCAGAGAAAACGTGTATATGAGGCAACCGCGGTTGTTCGTATTTATGGAAACAATGTGACAACAGCTTCTGTACAAGCTACTCTATGGGTCCAGAATCCAAATCAACGGGATCAATACATTGGCATTTCCACGTTAGTACATTATGTATCACATACTGTTAGTCATGAATCATGGTAAAATGCTGAAGTAGTTCTCTTTTTGTTCCTTAAAAGTGTGCAGGCAACAGACAAAGAGTGGGTACATTTAAAAGGGAAGTTCCTCCTCAACGGTTCTGCATCGCGGGTAGTCATTTACGTTGAAGGTCCGCCACCAGGAACGGATATTCTCCTCAATAGCTTCACTGTGAAACATGCCGAGAAAATTCCTCCTTCACCGCCCCCGTCTATTGAGGTTAGTTCAGAGATCCATATCACATTTTCACCGCAGTAAAATTAAAGGTGAACAAAATATTCTAAACAAATCTAACATTTCTAAAGAATACACAATTTAGCAAAAATAATCTTTTTGCTCAAGATTGTAGTTTAATTTTGAAAAAATGGCTTATGATATAATGTAAACGCAAACAAATAATCGAAGTCTGAATCCGCGTTGTTGTTTTCCTCGTAGAATCCTGCATTTGGGGTAAACATACTCACAAATAGCCACTTAAGTGATGATACGACCAATGGCTGGTTTCCATTAGGGAACTGCACACTAAGTGTCGCGGAAGGGTCACCTCGAATCCTTCCTCCAATGGCAAGAGACTCTCTTGGACCACACGAGCCTCTAAGTGGCCGCTATATACTCGCGACTAACCGAACACAGACATGGATGGGTCCAGCACAAATAATCACTGATAAACTTAAGCTGTTCTTGACATACCAAATATCAGTTTGGGTCAAAGTCGGTTCTGGCATTAATAGTCCACAAAATGTTAATGTCGCACTTGGTATCGATGGCCAATGGGTAAACGGAGGACAAGTCGAGATCAACGATGATAGATGGCATGAAATTGGCGGTTCTTTCCGAATCGAGAAGCAGCCATCTAAGGGTTTGGTTTATGTTCAAGGCCCTTCTTCCGGCATTGATCTTATGGTTGCTGGATTGCAGATTTTCCCGGTCGATCGACTCGCGAGAATCAAACATTTGAAAAGACAATGTGACAAGGTATATTACACAAAGACTCTGCTTTCAATATCTTGTGTTAAAAGCAATGAGACTTTATAGTAACTTTCTCGAAATGCAGATCCGTAAGCGCGATGTTACCCTCAAATTTTCTGGTGTTGATTCTAGCAAATTATCTGGAGCTACGGTTATAGTTCGACAAATAAGAAACAGCTTCCCGGTGGGGACTTGCATAAGCAGATCAAATATAGATAACGAAGATTTCGTCGATTTCTTCTTGAAGAACTTTAATTGGGCGGTTTTCGCTAACGAATTGAAATGGTATTGGACGGAACCAGAGCAAGGGAAGCTTAATTACCAAGACGCAGATGATATGCTCAACTTGTGTAATAGCAACAACATAGAAACAAGAGGACATTGTATCTTTTGGGAAGTTCAAGCAACTGTTCAGCAATGGATCCAAAACATGAACCAAACCGACTTAAACAACGCGGTCCAAAACCGCCTAGCCGATCTTCTAAATCGGTACAAGGGGAAATTCAAACATTACGACGTGAACAATGAGATGTTACACGGATCATTCTATCAAGACAAGCTAGGAAAAGACATAAGGGTCAACATGTTCAAGACCGCGCACAACCTAGACCCTTCTTCTACATTGTTCGTGAACGACTACCATGTAGAAGACGGGTGTGACCCAAAATCCTGTCCTGAAAAGTACACGGAACTCATTCTTGACCTGCAAGAAAAGGGTGCGCCGGTAGGAGGAATCGGGATTCAGGGTCATATCGATAGTCCTGTGGGTTCAATTGTATGTTCAGCTCTAGACAAACTAGGAATCCTAGGTTTACCGATATGGTTCACGGAAATGGATGTATCTTCGATTAATGAGCACATAAGGGCAGATGATTTAGAAGTAATGATGTGGGAAGCTTTCGGACATCCCGCTGTTGAAGGTATAATGTTATGGGGATTTTGGGAATTGTTCATGAGCAGAGACAATTCTCATTTGGTGAATGCAGAAGGAGATGTTAATGAAGCTGGTAAAAGGTTTTTGGCTGTGAAAAAAGATTGGCTTTCTCATGCTAATGGACATGTTGACCAAAACGGTGCGTTTCCGTTTAGAGGGTACAATGGAAATTATGCCGTTGAAGTGATTACTACTTCATCTACTAAGGTTCTGAAAACGTTTGTTGTTGAAAAGGAAGATTCGTCTCAAGTTATTACTGTTGATCTTCAAGGTTTGTGATGCGTTTGTGTTATACATGTGTTCATGTATGTATGTCTAGATTTAGAATTTGCTGAAACTGTGGTGTTTGTTTGTTGTGAATATTATACTTTGGTTGTTATAGTATGGTGGCTTGTCTAATCTCATAATCGGATGATTACATACCAAAATAAGCTAAAACGAAAATTTAGATAATATATATTATAAAACATTTATTAAATTCAAAATTATTGTATTATTTTTGTATTTTTAACATGTAATCTTATAACTCAGTGACAAATACTTATATAATTTTACTAACACTATTTAACATTTTATTTAGCAAATAATAGTATAGACCGTTAATAGGTATAACAAATTATAATTTATTATTTTATATATGATAAAAATAATTTAAAATTAGGGTTGGCTGATTTTATAGCCATAACAAATTATAATTTATTATTTTATATATGATAAAAATAATTTAAAATTAGGGTTGGCTGATTTTATAGCCATAAACTAGTTGCATTCTCAGCTTTTCCCCCAAACCTTTTTGCTCCTGAAAATTACACCATAAACTTAGATAATTCTCACAATTGCAACATGTACTTTCGGATTCATCATTAAAAATACGCCTCCAATTGAACCGGTCATTAAACCGGGATTAACCACAAATTCGTGTTTTCTTTACCGCGATTGCGATTTACCCGACTAATCATCCAACACCCGTTAAGAATACAACGTCGTTTTACCATTTGTTTAACTCAGCAAAACCCAAGCAAAAACGACGTCGTTTTTAATCTTCTTCTTCTACAAAATCGATTCGGGTGTTTAGGGTTCTACATTCTTCTACAAAATCGATTTGGGCGTTTAGGGTTCTACAGAATCGTTTTGAAGCTTGTTGTGATTTGTCTCTGTTTCCTAATGAGATTCTGTTTGGCTTTGTTTGTTTTGTAATGTGAATCTATGTTATGTGTTAATTGGTAAGCAAAATGAAATGACAAATCAAAACATGAGAATCTTATTCTGATTCAAATCAGTCATCCAAAACAATAACATCCTAAAGAGAATCAACTTCCGAAAGATACAACATCCAAAATAGACAAATGAGGATTGTTCCAATGACAATCTAAATCAATCAACAACTGTCGTCGTCTCCATCATTCTCTCTGTCAACATTCTCTCTGTCACTCTCACAATTGCCGTTACTGTCATTGTCTTCGTCCCCCTCAACTCCGCTTTCACCGCTATCACTTCCACCGTCGGCATCGAGATCACTGTTTGGAGGATTGAAATCGGGGTCATCTGTATCGCTTTGATAAACAAGCCAGATTTCCCAAACAACCAATCGAAAACCTATTTGAAACCCTAATTCCCACCCAGATTTATGTATCGAGAACCCAGAAATCCCAAAATCCCCAAATCCCCTTTTGTCTTTTTCTCTCAAGAACCCTAATTTCACAGAGGTAACAATGACGATTCGTAAACCCGATTTGAGATTTATCAAAATGAAAACGACGTCGTTTAAGCTTAGGTTTTGCTGAGTTAAACCAGTGGAAAACGACGTCGTTTTCTTAACGGGTGTTGGATGATAAATCGGGTAAATCGCAATCGCGGTACAGTAAACGCGAATTTGTGGTTAATCCCGGTTTAATGACCGGTTCAATTGGAGGCGTATTTTTAAGGATGAATCTGAAAGTGCATGTTGCAATTGTGAGAATTATCTAAGTTTATGGTGGAATTTTAAGGAGCAAAAAGGTTTGGGGGAAAAGCTGAGAATGCAACTAGTTTATGGCTATAAAATCAGCCAACCCTTAAAATTACTATACCGAAACTGTTATACTTAACACTAAAAGTAAAAGAGAAAATGTCTACTAACTCCCCTTTTGGCAAAACAAAACCTCTTATATCCCAAATGAGTCTACATATCCCTTTCTTGTTTAATGAAAAGTGTGTAGACGAAAATACCCCTCCTTCTTTTCATCTAATTGTTTAATGAATTTTAAAAAAACAAGAAAAAAAAAAAATCGAATCCAGAAAAAAAAAAAAACAAACGAGAGCGTCTCTCTCGAGCTTCATCTCCGGCGAGCTGCATTGTTGCCGTTTCTTCCATTCCGGCGAGCTTCCGGCGAGCTGCGGTGAGACAGGTTTGTTCCTTTAGCTGCATAGAGCTTGAAATAGAAGTTTAGGATGTAGACATATACTAAATAGGAGATTCAATTCAATTAGATTTAGGTAATAGTGTTTGGGTATGCACATTGGAAGTTTATGCATAGTTTCTGGGTCGACTAGGTCTGTAAATGGGTAAGAGATGGATTACAGGACCTGAATTATAGTGAATTGTAGTTTTGAACCCGAAACCATTCGATTTGAGTTCTTGTCGCGAAAGTACAACTGGTAGAACTGGGTAGAATTGTACCTGAATCTATTGAAAAATATATACGTAGTATTACTGGTTATACTAGTGTTACCCAGATGTATGTAGTATGACTAGTTACACTAGTATTACCCATTTACATGTAGTATGACTAGTTGCACTAGTATTATCCAGATGTATGTAGTATGACTAGTTACACTAGTTTTACCCATATATATGTAGTATTACTAGTTACACTAGTATTACCCAGATGTATATAGTATGACTAGTTATACTAGTATTACCCAGAATTGTAGTACAACTAGTAAAACTAGTATAACTGACACAGTTTATGTATTATTTTTGCAGGATACAATGAGTGAGAACGTGAACATATATTTTAAATGCAAAGGTCGCATGTATACCTTGGTGATGAAGACATCAGGGGAGAATATAACTCTCTCCATGTTAGTAGGTAGGATATGCACGAAGCTTGGGTTAGATGAAAGTAAGGTTAAATTGCAACTGAGGTATAATGCAGTGTTGTTGGGATCAACTGAAGAGATTTACATTTGTGATGATGAGGATGTCGGTGTCTATATATCTTCAGGTGAAAATAACCGTCGATATGTTTTGTATGTGGAGGTCATCACTCCACCAGAATTGCCCGAGCAACTGTCGAGAGTGGAGGTCATCAATAAAAGTTCGGTTGGTAAGAACTATGCGGAATTGGATCCAAAAGAGGATGAAATGAGAGATAATGCTGCCATCGTTTTGTGCGAATGTGAGGAACAAGGAACAGAACCAAAAGAGGCAATAGTGGAGGTTGATGATACTCAAGATGCTGAGATTGGATCACAGGATGAATCTATGGATATACATGATGATAGGGGTGATGAATACGTTGAGCCACCGCCTGTTGTAGAAGCTGGTCGGTTTAAAAAGGAATGGGAAGACGGTATTGGTTTGATTTTACGACAAGAATTTCCAAGCAGGGCGGCATTGCAGGAAGTGGTGGACAAAGGTGCATTTGCTAACAGTTTTGGTTATGTTATTAAAAAGTCTGATAAGGAGCGGTATTTGCTAACGTGTGCTAAAGAAAGCTGTGCTTGGCGTATACGAGCTACAAATATTCGGAATACAAGTATTTACTCGATTAGAAAGTACAACAAGATGCATACTTGTACCCGGTTAAGTAAGAGTAAGACAAGGATGAGGAAGAGGAAAGGTACCCCTGAATTAGTAGCAGCGCTTCTTCATGATATTTTTCCAGGACAAATGGAAACTCCAGTTCCTAAGGTTATCATGGAGCTTGTTCAGACGAAATTAGGTGTGAAGATATCGTACTCCACCGCATTGAGAGGGAAAAGGCAAGCCATTTGTGATTTAAAAGGTAGCGCGGAAGATAGCTACAAGGATATCAATTGTTATTTGTACATGTTGAAGAAGGTAAATGAAGGTACAATAACATATCTGAAATTGGATGAGGAAGATAAATTTCAATACCTATTCATAGCTTTGGGAGCTAGCATTGAAGGCTTTCAAGTGATGAGGAAAGTGATAATTGTGGATGCAACACATTTGAAGAACGGATATGGTGGTGTTCTAGTATTTGCCTCAGCTCAAGACCCAAATCGTCATCATTATATCATAGCGATTGGCGTACTCGACGGTGAGAATGATGCTAGTTGGGGATGGTTCTTCGAGAAGCTGCTAACAGTTGTACCCGATACTCCAGAATTGGTATTTATGAGTGACAGAAATTCAAGCCTCATCAAAGGCATACGTAATGTGTATTTCGCGGCTCATCACGGGTATTGTATTTGGCATTTATCCCAAAATGTGAAAGGTCATGCCACTAACGTCAACAGAGACGTAGTCGCATGGAGATTCATGGAGTTAAGTCGGGTTTACACCATGGCTGAATTCGAGAGGGAGTACAGAATTTTTAAGCTAAGATATCCTTCTGCGGCCAATTACTTGGAGGATACAACCGTGAAAGAAAAATGGGCTAGGTGTTGTTTCAGAGGACAGCGATACAATTTGGACACAAGCAACTGTGTGGAATCTTTGAATTCAGTTTTCCTCAATGCAAGGAAGTATTCTTTAATACCCATGCTTGATGCGATCATGTCCAAGATTTCTGTTTGGTTTAATGAACATCGGAAAGAAGCCGCGTCAGGATCTAATGAGAATAAGTTGGTGCCTTTAGTGGAGAACTACTTGCATGATTTATGGGTTGAAGCTGAGAAACTAAAAGTGACGGAGCTAAACACATTCCAGCTTGAATACAATGTCAGGGGTAGTGAAGGGAAAGAATATTTTGTCAACTTGCTCTTGAAAACTTGCAGTTGCAAGGTGTTCGATATCCAAAAGTATCCTTGTGTGCATGCACTAGCCGGTTTCATTGCCTTCGAGAGCGATACAACAAGAACTCGAAGTATGGAAATACATGAATTGGTTTCAAAGTATTATTGGGCGGAGATGTGGGCATTGGCGTATTATAGGACTATTTATTTAGTCCCGGATAAGTCACAATGGGATATCCCAGATGAGATCAAAGCGTTGAAGGTATTACCTCTGCCTCGGAAAAAGAAGAAGGGTAGAACAAAAGTGTTGAGGCTTCCATCCACCGGGGAAAGGCGTCCAAAACGTCAAAGGACTCAAAACAAAAGGAGGCCGAGGCAATCGCTGCAATGGTTGTTATTTGGCAACCATAGTATTTGATTTTATCTGAACTTTATGATTTGTAAACCATATTTGCGTTGTACAACTATGTAACACTACATTTGCCTCCTGTAATACTATGTTTTAATTCACTGGCGTAAGGGTAATACTAGTATAACAGGTATTACTAATGAAAAATTTAGGTAACACTGGTATAACTAGTATAACTACTGAAGAAAATTATGAAATTTGATATTTCTAATTTTTTCAACACCAACTATTACATAGACTATTAAATGATAATGAACTCTTACAAATGATTTAAAACGAAGTAAGATAGAGAAAAAAAAAATGTTCATGTAAGATTGTTTTATGAGACTACATCCAACATATTCCTTATACTTTTAAGCTCACTTTTGATATAAACTCCAATTTAGGATTGATATTTTACAATTTTATATATTTTTAACATTTGATTACATTAAACCTTTAGAATTCAATAATAATAGAGTTTCCTCAAGTGTACAACTAGATAAATCATTTTTAAGGATGTGTAATACTGGTTAAATTTGAAAACACCAAAAGTAAAACTATGTGGACAATTTGTACAACTGAAAACTAGGGTACAACTACGTTAAAAAAAACGGCGCACATGTCACAAAGACTGCGCACACGTGGATTTGACTGCGCACACGTGGGTTTGACTGCGCACACGTGGGCATATAATTCCAATTTCTCCCCCCAAATTTTTTTTCCCTCCAATTTTCCCCCCCAAAATCAATTAAACCCAAAATCAACAAAAACAAATAACTAAAATTCTTTTTTTTCTCCACTTCTAATTCACAATCGAGACTTCTCCTCTCTCTCTCTATCTCGAAATTCACTCTCTCTCTCTCCAAGCTCAAGAAAACGAGATCCAACTTTGTTCCTTCTCTTCAATCTTTCTCTCTTTTTCAATTATGGATCGATTATGTGAGAGAGACCCATGGTATGATGAGATGAAGAACGCTAAGAGGATTTATGATCAATTAGAAGAAGTCGGAATGATGGAAGGAATTCCGAAGAGATGTCCTTGTGGTGGACGCATCCTCGACAAGATCTCTGAGAACGATGGTGACAAAGGGAAGAGATACTATCAATGCAACGTGTATAAGGTAAATAGATAGTATCATTATTGACGCGAAAGTAAAACTGGTAGAACTGGTAGAACTGGTAGATCTCTGAGAACCCAGATGTATGTAGTATTACTAGTTACACTAGTATTACCCAGATGTATGTTGAATAATTGATCTCGATATAGAATTCTTGTATTGTAGAATGATGGTTTACACATTCGGAAACTTTGGGATAAAGCTATGGAAGAAGAGGTGACTAACTTAAGGGAGGAGGTTGATACCCATCACAAAAAGATTCAAAGCTTGGAGTACTATCAAGAAGAAATGCGTTCGGAGTTGAAAGGTAATGGTAAGGAGACCCAAAAACTGAAGGAGTTAGTCGCTCATCTAGCGGAGAAAATGCGTTCGGAGTTAGTCGCTCACTAATGTGTAAGCTTATTCTTTGCTTTGTAAGACTTGTCTATGTTTTGTAAGACTTTTCTATGAATTGTAAGACTTTTCTATGAATTGTGAGACTTTCTTATGCTTTGTAAGCTTATTACCATTAGCAGTATTACTAGTTTTACCCGTATTCCTTAATTAGTAATACCAGTTTTACTAGTATTACCAGTATTACCATTACCAGTATTACTAGTTTTACCCGTATTCCTTATTTAGTAATACCAGTTTTACCCGTATTCCTTAATTAAATTTATAAAACTAACTTAACAAATCCAAATTCAAATCCTAACAAGACAAATCCAAATTCAAATCCTAACATAATAAATCCAAATTCAAATCCTAACATAACAAATCCAAAACAATTAACATAACAAATCCAAGTTCAAATACAAACATCAAAGAGACAAATCAGTCAACCAAGCTGTCTCTTGCTCCGAGTCGTCATCTTGGTGACTTGTGGGTCACCATCCTTCTCTTGGGTTGTATCTTTTGGGTCACCATCCTTCTCTTCGGTTGTCTCTTTCGGGTCACCATCATTCTCTTGATTCTTCTCTTCTTGATCCTGCCATTGAACAAAGTTATATCACAGTAATACCAGTATTACTCAGTTATACCAGTATTACAAATCGTACCTTTCTCTTATCTACTTTCTGCGCCTCCCTGAATGCTTCCAACGATTTAACTCTTTCATCCAACGAGTTAACTGTATCATCCAACCCTGAAATCACTACTAGGATTTCATTCAGCTGATCTGTCATCTCAACTTTCATCTCTTGAATCATCTCCACCACAGCAGCCAAACTCGGGAGTTCTTGTCCATCTACTGCGGGAATATCCTCACCACCCGCAATCTCTGGTCCTGCGATGATTCCTCGGGCCTGTAGATCCTGTTGGTACAGCTCTTCAAACCTGATTAGACGGCCCTCTTTATGACGCTTCAACCAACTTTCCACCACCGGATCAGCCATGTCAACGTCGTGTTCTTCTTCCGTGATTGCTCTCATAAGTGCGTGCTCTTCAATTCTAGGTGAGACGATACAATCAATGACCTGTAAACATAAACAAATATAGATTATTATAATTAAATAGAATAGCAAACGTTTCATAAAACAGAATATATAGGATAACTAACCTGAGTTGTACCCAATTCATGATTAATAGTATCAAGAGGAATGCCTTTCAAATGGTTCTTCTTGAACTTCACCTTGCACATCCTAGGACATCCCTCATCTGCTCCTGCAATGTCCTCAATGAATTTTTCCCTCAACAGTGGGATTGCCTCGAATGCAAGAAGCTACAGAATAAAAAAACATATATTTAGAATCAACAGTAATACCAGTATTACTAGTTTTCTAATGTGCAGTATTACCAGTTTTCTAATATGCAGTATTACCAGTATTCCAAACAATCACCAATTACTATAACTTGTAACTAACCTCTATCGGAAGACAGAAACCCGGAACTGGCCATATGTACTTCTCGTTCTCGGTGACAAAACCATTGAAATGATTCATCGTGTGTGAGATGGTATCTAACATATAATCGAAAGAATACCTCCCCCACTGAAAATTCCTACAAAACGCAAGATCATTCACAGCCTTTAAACAAAATTGATCCACTTGAGGTGCCTTTTCCCCGGTCTTGATAGGCGCCACAATAATGCTGGTTAGGAAATAAAGGACCATCATCCTCAACCTATCTTTTGATCTGTCACCCTTCGGCACCATTTCTATGAGCTTCTTTCTCACGTCTTCGCGTTTCACAACAGGAACTTTCTTGAAATGCTTCGTCTTGAACTCCATACTTCCCACATTTTTATAATCAAGCGCATAATTCTTGCAATTGAAGCCCGATATCAATGCATGTTCCGATATACCATATCGGATTGGAACGCCATTGACGATGAACCACACTTCTTTCTTCCTATCAATACGCGCCGTGCGAAGAAGGAGCATCCACATCCCCATAAGTCGGTGGTTTGGGTCTCTTGGCATGTGGAAGACGTGTTGGAAACTCGGATGATCCTCAAAAAATGCCCTCTCAGACTTGCTCATCGGAGGCTCCAACTCATCAAATGTAGTCAACACTTCGTGAATATAGCACCGAGTTGATAGCTTGATTTTCTTCACATATTCCGAAGGCGGGAAATACATACTCAGCGGTGGTATTGCTTCTGTTTCCTCGTCGATCTCCTGCAACAGAACAGACATTCATCCATATATCATTAATCTGCGAATAGTATTACTAGTATTACCCTGAAAATATACACATAGTTGTACTCCAGTAATACCAGTTTCACCAAGAATTCAAACACATAGTTATACCCAAGTAATACCAGTATTACCCAGAAATCAAACATATAGTAATGCCCTAGTATTACCAGTTATACCCAGAATTCAAACACATAGTATTCCCAGTTCTACCAGTTATACCAATACATAATAGTTTTATCCTGTTCTACCAGTAGTACCCAAATATACACATAGTTTTACCCTGTTCTACCAGTTTCACACCATTCAAATACTTACCATAGCATTTTCGGACGCATTTTCCGGCGCAATCTCATCCTCCTTACTCTCATCGGAGGAGGACTCTCTGTCCAAAGATCTACTACCATCATCGGAGGAGGACTCCTCTCCTTCCTCATTCCCTTCCTCATTCCCTTCTTCTTTCTCTTCTTCTTTGTCGTCTTCTTCTTCGCCACTCTCTTCTTCCTCATTCTTCTTAGAATTTTCTTCCTCATTCTTGTCAGACTCTTCTAAAACCGGACTTAAGGTCTCCGGGACTTGTTCTCCCTCAATTGCCGTCGGGGATGGCTCCTCCGTCGAGCCTGGCTCCACCGTCGTTGTGGTGGATGGCTCCACCGTCGGGGATGGCTCCTCCGTCGAGCCTGGCTCCACCGTCGTTGCCTTTGCTAATCTCTTCCTCTTTAACCCTTTCTTTGGAGGCATTATCGGAGAGGTTTCGAAACGGGATACAAGAAACGAGAAAAGGAATCAATAAAGTTGGAAGATGATTTCGCAATCTCTCAATTACAGTTTCTGGGAAGATTTGAAGAGGAGAGGAAGTCGGAGCAAGATTTGAAGATTTGAAGGTTAGGGTTTTCTCGTTTTCTCTTTGAATTGGGGAAAAACAAAAGAGAGAAAACGTAAAGTATATGGGGATGGGTGGGTTGAGAATGGATCGGGTCTGGTTCGAATAGATCCAGGTTTTAGCAGTAATATTGAGGTTTCGGTTGGGGTATATCAGTAATATCCATAGTTTTCGATTTAATTTTAAATAAAAATAAAATTGTGTTTTATTAGGGGAGATATGAGACGATGCTTGGACAAAAGGGGACTCACGAGATAATTTCTCAAAGTAGAGAAAAATGACATTGTTTAAATTGTTTGCATGTACCATGCAACACAATTAACTAGTAATATAGAGTGTAATATTTTTAAAAATACTACCAAAATATACCCAGAGATAGATAATATATGTACGTTACATAATTGATCATGTTCGAATGATTATGATACCTAAAATATTCACATAATTTATATAGCTTATTCATATATTTTTTCTCATCTCCCTTTTTAATTTTAATTTTAAATTTCCATTAGAAACAAAAAAAACATACAAGGCCAAGAGCCCATTACGGGCACGCAGGCCCAAAAAAGAAAAAGATTACAAGGCAAGAAAGCCCTTGAGGAGCACGTAGGCCCAAAAGAAGAAAATATAAGGCTAATAAGCCCACAAAAAGGACAAGCAGACTCAAGAAAGGAAGAACAACCCAGGAAGCCGAAAAGAACCCCTGAGGCAAGGAGAAGCCAGCCTAGTCCTGAAACAGAGCAAACCAAGTGACAAGGAGAGAAGATCTAAGAGGTCCGGAAGATTGAAGCCTAGAAAGAGGATCAAGACGAATCAATTGTATCTCCTTTATGATTTGTATATCAATTAATTCATAAGACTTATTTCTAAAAATGATGCGTCGTTGTGTTATCTTATGACCAAAAATATTGCATTACCATTCATATTATTATTTTATTATCAAACAAAATGGTTCACACATTAAACTAATCAAATATAATGCGTTTTTACTGTGTCAAACGAAACACAAATTTTGTTCATGATTTTGGAACACATGCAGTTCAAATCAATATTTTAATATATATTCTAAAAAATTACTAAACTAAAGACGATTCAAACTATTTTGTTTAATGTCATAATATTTGTGGTTCCTCCCCTTTGCGTCTTGACCCTCTTTGTACCATGTATCCATTGAGACCCTAAGTTTCTACTATACTGTTCAAGACCAATCCTCATTTCCTCATACCTCAATCAATAACAATGAAAATTACCATTGATGAATTGTGCAAAGAAACCTTTGTTTGGAGTTCAAACACAAAACATTGAATCCACGTGTATGTATGGTTTATAAAAGTTTTAAAGGATTTACAAGAGTTTTTTAAGAGATTTAAACGAGTTTTTTTAAGTAATTGCCAGCATATTTTGGCGGGAAAGTTTTGCACGTTGCCGAAATATTTTGGCAAGAAAATAACTTTTAGCTTTTTGGCGGAAAAATTTCACCATCTCATTATCTGCCCTCACTAAAAGAAGAGTAATTAAGTCTTTTTTTTTGGTGAGAGAGTAATTAAGTTTTTTCGTACTTAAAAGGAGTATTTTTGAAAATACACAAATGAAAAGATATTTTTGAAAAATTGCATTGTAAAAAGGGCATTTGTAACTTGGCATTACGAGCATCTGAATGCAAGTTACCGTGTTTCTCATGCACAAGCTTTTGCAAGTCAGCAGCCAAGGCCTCAGAGTATGCAGAGGTAGAAATTAAGAAGGAAATGTCAGTTGACCTTCATAACATTTATATATATATTTTTAATTATAAGGTTATTTACCTAATGATTATGAGATGTTTTGGTACAAAATTTTCAAGTTGACCCCCATATCATGCCATAATTTATTTTCTTTGAACCCGTTCATATTTAATTTTCATTCAACATTAATTTTCTTTCCATGTTTGTTTTGTGTTTTCCTAAAAAATAACTACAAATCTTGAATATCTTCTTACATTTTGATTTTGTTTTCTTCTCATTAGATTTTTTATTTTATTTTTGTCTTACCTTATTCTCAAAATTGTTTTTACATTTATGTTTGTACAGACCATAAAACAAGATAAATACAACAACTATTTAATTTCCACAATATAGCTATAGATTTTGATAAATTTATATTTTGAAAATAAATATTACCTAACCCAACTAAAAATAAATTAAAAAGTTGAACGACATGTATCTTTTTTTTTGAAAAGTGAAGCATTTTAAATACTACATAGAAATTTCTATTAAGAAAACTAGATTTAGATTTACTTAAGTGAGAAAAAATGTTCTCTAGACCATTTAAACAGCAATTTATAGGTTAAATATATTATTTAATATTAATATATAATTAATTAAAAAAATTAAATATATATGTGTTCCCAAGATTTAGGTTCTATATACATTTAAAAGAAACAAAAAAATAGAAGGAAGTGAAACTAAAAATTTAGGATGTTATTTTACATATAACTTGTTAATGAGCACAAAAACCAATTTTCTTTCCTTCATTTTAAACTATTTCTTTGACTTCTTTTTTTTTTTCTTTTTGGGAATTTTAGTTTTGCTTTCGATAATTAGTGGTTTTGCATTTAGTGATTAAATTATAAAAACGTTTTTATAATTTTTATACTACAAAAATTTGTTGCCTACTTGTCTATAGTAAATAATTTAATATAGCTTCAAATTCTAAAATTTCGGACTAAACTATTCCAAATAAGCCAAAGCTATCTACATACATAATTACGAGATGTCATTAACTTTAATTCGAATTTGTAAAACATAGTTAACAGGCCCAATGTTTGGTTTACAGAAATTTAAGCCTTAAAAAAGCCCACAGATATTTGTTTTCCATGTCAAAGAACCCTAATAACACATTTTGTTGCTCAAGCGCCGTTTCTAGGGTTTTTCTCTGAAGCAATTTCATTTCTCTAAATTTCATCAACAATGGCGGAAAGAGGAGAACGCGGCGCAGAGCGTGGCGGTGACCGTGGTAGCTTCGGACGTGGATTCGGCGGTGGACGTGGCGGTGGCCGTGATCGTGGTCCAAGAGGTCGTGGACGACGTGGAGGCCGTGCCTCGGAAGAAGCGAAATGGGTACCAGTGACTAAACTAGGTCGTCTAGTGCTAGACAATAAAATAACGAGGCTAGAGGAGATCTATCTCCATTCTCTGCCAGTGAAGGAGTACCAAATCATAGATCTTCTTGTTGGTCCTTCGTTGAAAGACGAGGTTATGAAGATCATGCCTGTTCAGAAACAAACCAGAGCTGGTCAAAGGACTAGATTCAAGGCTTTTGTTGTTGTTGGTGATGGTAATGGTCATGTTGGTTTGGGTGTCAAGTGTTCTAAGGAAGTTGCTACTGCCATTAGAGGAGCTATTATTCTTGCTAAGCTTTCTGTTGTTCCGGTTAGGAGAGGTTACTGGGGGAATAAGATTGGGAAGCCACACACTGTGCCTTGTAAGGTTACTGGGAAGTGTGGTTCTGTTACTGTGAGAATGGTTCCTGCTCCTAGAGGTGCTGGTATTGTTGCTGCTAGGGTTCCTAAGAAGGTTCTTCAGTTTGCTGGTATTGATGATGTCTTTACTTCTTCTAGAGGATCTACTAAAACACTTGGAAACTTTGTCAAGGTTTGATTTTGATCCTTCATTTTTGATGCATTTGATTATGTTTAGCTGATGGATTCTGTGATTTAGCTCTGCTTTTAATGATTTGATTATAGTTTGGTAGGGATTTAGTTCACAATTGCTTAGTTGTTTCCTGTGAAGATGATGTGATTAAGACTTCAAATTGTATCTCTGTGATTCGTATTCGACCTCCATCTGTAGTTAACTTAATTTTCGGTATTAAATAAAGTGCAAGTGTTGCATGATCTAGAGCTCAATTACTTGATTTGATGAATGTAGTTGCTTCATTATATGTGACTGATTGATCTTCTTGAGTATCTCCAACTCATGGTTTAATGATGTTGTTGTTACGACACAGGCTACATTTGATTGCCTACAGAAGACATATGGGTTCCTTACACCAGAGTTCTGGAAAGAGACCAGATTCTCCAAATCGCCATACCAAGAGTACACTGATTTCCTGGCGACTAAGGCTGTTCCAGCCGCCAAAGTTATCACTGAGGGTGAAGACCAAGCGTAAAACCTTCATGAGATAAGTTTTGTTTTTATAGGTTTTGGTTGTCCCAAATGTCGTTTGTTTCTTGGTATCTATCAGATTTCGATATTGGCGGTTTTGTTACTGTTTGGATTTTGTTGAATGTTTGCGGTAAATGCAAATTTTAATGAAATAGCTTTTGCAATAGATCACATACATATTCATTCAAATAGCCAACTTATTTATAGACCAATAAATTAAGCTTGTCACGTATGATTGTTCAAGTAACAAGAATACTGTGCACTATGGTACAAAATTATGAATATTTCATTACTGATTCGGAACTGAATTGAAATGCAGCTGGACCGAACGAGAATCGAAGAATCAAGTTTTTATGATCACCATCATAAAAACTTGAAACAAACAAGCATATGCTCATATAAAAGAAATACAATGAGTGTGGAGATTGACTGATCATCAGTAGTCAAACCAGCAAACATAAAAAGAAAAAAAAACAAAAGTTGATATGAAGCGCATAGTAGTTTCGTACTTCAGTCATGATACAACAGAAATACTTAAGTCTGATTATACAAACAAAAGACATCAAGAAGACAACGCAAAGGGTTTATTATGGATAGATATGGGGCATAGGACCAATTTCATCTGAGATTTGATTGGGAAGAGATTCGTCTGCAAAAAACGAAAAGAAAGAAAGAAAGAAAAAGGCAATCAAATTAAGCAGAATGTCTTACTTCCCTCTAAAAAAAGAGAGAGTATAATTTCATTTTTGAATGCATTTTGAAAACAAAAGCAAAAGAATAGATGAATCTCAGCCCATCAGAAAGCTCCTTTAACTCTTCATAATCCAAAATACTCAAAGAGTATGAAGAACGGGCATGGAACCTTTGTTGTAATTCTCACAATCTCTCTATCTTTCACTCTTATTTACGGTTTCATTGTCTTTAGAGAGAAAGAACAAAAACCATTTTTGTTTAATTGTCTACATTGTATTAATGGATCACTTGGATAACATTACACAACACCACACACACACTCTTATACTAGCTTTACTTCTACTTACTACACACACTTGTATCATGCTTCTACTTAGACCTTACTTTTAGACATCATTACTCTAGGGTATAACCAAGCTCACAAGCAAGGTTAACCAACAACTCTTACACAACAACAACTCTAGTCTTTAGCTAACACTTAACTAACAAAACACACTTCCTTTACTTTGGGCCTTAACCAAGAAACGTAGCCCATTAGTCTTCTTAGGACCAAACCACACAAAGCCCAACACCCTTCTTCTTGTTGACTTTGCTCCTTCTTCTCTATGTGTCGTTGACCTTGTCACGACTTCTTCTTTTTCTTCTCACTTGAAGCTTTTCTCTTTTGCAGATTTAATCAAAGGTTCAAATCCAACAACCTTCTTTACTATCCACTCTTCCCACTCATTTAGTCCTTCTATTTCAAGCTTCTTCAACTGAGGAAACTCACCACCCGAGCAAACCAGCCTCCTCCCGCAGATAGAGCTTTTCAATAAATTCTCTCTTTCAAGTGGGCTACGCTTCTCTAGAATCAGCATTGGATCCTCCTCCAAGTGAAAACCACAGTTATTATGTCTTGGAAAACAACACAAAAGTTCATCGATGTAGTAAAAATATTAGAAATGATATCTACGATAACTTAATGCAAATTTAAGAAAAATAAACAATATTAGACTCATATTTCACTATATATATATATTAAAAAATTTATATAATTATTAATTTATGATATTTATGAGACCATATATTTACATAGGATTTTCAAAAAAATTATCATCTTATTATTTTATCGACTTATGTTACTTTTACATTAGTTCTAACTCGGGACCGAATATTAATTTATGGAAAATAACGGAAAACAAAACTCTATGAAATCTCGCATAATTTATAATTACCCTTCTATTTTATTTGTCAGCCAAGTGGTGGACGTGCATAAGTTTTCTAAGAGTTCCCTTTAGTTTAAGGTTTAACTGTCATGTTCATGGCACCTTGTATCTTAATCATATTATTCAAAAAAGTGAACCTGAAATTATAATTTATTGAATTAGCAAACCTTCTTAAATCTGTTTGTGTTCACTGATTAAGTTGACTATAAAAGTTTAATGATAACAGTTCAAAAGATTAAAATTTTGATATAAGCTAACATATTTTTCCAGAATAAAAATCCTCACAAGTGTTTTCGCTATATGTCCTATAAGGAAATAGCTTTTGCATCAACACCGATAAACGAAGCCACCACTACTTGCTTGAGCAATGCATTCTTACCCTGAAACAACAGAAATGGATGGGTAAATTGGTGGACTAGTTGGAAACCACCAACTCCACGGCTTATGTGATTCATCATCTCCTCCAAGACTATAACGCCTATAGGTGGCCATTTCGGTATACAATGCACTTATCGTTGTTTCGCAGGGCATTTTAATTGGCCATTGATGCCAATAACGTCATCATCAACTCTCTGCAAAATATTCAGATTCTATCCTTAAATAGTGGTTTTGAAATTTTTTGACAATAAGGATTTGGTCATAGCCTAAAATTTTTCCACGTCAACCAAGTTTAAGACAAAAAAAAACTTTAGCAGAGACGCTTGGTAATACATATAAGAGATGATAGTATGATACTAATTCAAAAACATAATGACATGCCTGAGGTCTCAGAATCAGTAAAGATATGAGTTTTTCTTACCAGAGTTCGTAGATAAGCGATCAGCGAACAACTTCACTATATCTCCTGATGTCCCAAAAAGTCAACAAAAGGAATGTGTTGGACTTTGTAATAATCATCTCCTCCTTCCGACAATCTTTCTTTCCATTTCATGCCCATAGTCAGTGTTTCTAAAGAATATATGAATCGCAGCCCATCAGGAACCTCTTTTAATTTATCACAGAACACAAGAACTAGATCATGAAGAAGGGGCATGACGCCTTCTTCTACTATCCACTCTTCCAACTCCGCTAACTGTACAATCGATAGAAGCTGCAATTGAGGAAACCCACCGCTCGAGCAAACCATTCTCCTCCCACTGAAAGATTTATACACTAAACTGACCTTTTTCAATTGAAGCAACTTCTCTAGAATCGGCATTGGATCCTCCTCCAAAAAACAATGACTTAGAGAGACACTTGTAAGGTGAGAATGGAAATGTTGTTGCCTTGACACTTTAATATGCAACTTCAACTTTTTGAGATGAATGAAATCCAATACAATTCCCTCTTTTATCCTCCTCTCAGGCTTAATATCATCTATTATGCTAAGACCTTCTAGACGTTTCAATCCACTTATTGATGCAGATAGAGTTTCTAAATCCGTCTCATCCTTTAATCTGATGCTGAGAATCCTTAACCTAGCCATACCACGGAGATCCTTTACGCTGCTTTTCCCTGTTGAGAAATTCTTCAATGTCTCCAATTTTTCTAGATTACTCAATTCCAACTTTGTCTTATCTGACATAAACATCGGTAATTTAAGGTACTTCAATTCTCGCAACTCCTTTAAGAAATTGGGCACATAAAGTAGAGATGAACCATATACTCCTAAGTTTAGATAGATTAGCAACTTCAGATTTCGTAGAGAATAAGGTAGATGAGATACCACAACCTTTTCTAAGCTCAAGTATCTTAAGTGGATGAGCTTTCCAAGGCTACAAGGCACTTTCTTTCCTTCAAACTCTACTCTAGAGAGATCTAACACCCTAATCAACTGTAACGTTGTAAGGGTTAACCATGATAGCTTCCATTCCTTTCCGAATTCGTTCCAAAATATCACGAGAGATCGAAGTTTTAGATTTTTTATATGTCGATCAAAAAGTGATGTTGTAGTAGGATTGTGTAAGGTGAGTCTACGAGATGTACCAGAATTAGAGTATGCAGTCGAGGAGGAGGAGGCACCAACAATTTGTAGGAAATTCTCTTCTTTGGCTTTCAACAAACAAATTTCTCTCATCATGTCATGCAAATGACAAGTTTCAAATCTCAAAGTCACATCGTCTCTTTCCGATATAACCATATTTCTCCTCACCAACTCCTCTACGTTGCTATCCCCAACATCCCTAATGGTCTCTCCATCGTAACGCCTAGCTTCGGATATTCCCTCCGCAGCCCAGTAATAAGACAACTTTGATACGTTTATCATATGATCTTCTTGGAAAATGGCCAGGTAGAGAAAACAATGCTTCAAATAACTAGGCAACTCTTCAAAGCTCAAAGATAATACATGGTCAATCGAACCGTTGTTACCGCTGGTTCTTCCAATCACGACATGAGATCCAATATTCTCAGATAATCTTTTCCAATCATGCAGTGTGTATTTTGCAGCTAACAACCCTCCTAACACTTTGACAGCCAATGGTAGTCCTCCACAATGTTTGATCATCTCCTTAGCCATCTCCTCCATTTCATCAGTAACCTTAAATTCTGCACAAAATCATATAAATTAAATAAATATTTCAATAAGATATGATAATGAAATAATATAATCAATTATTTAGGGCAAAGAAGATTGTTTTGCGATCATCCCAAAATACATATCATAGTGATAAAAATGGAAAAACAAATCCCTTGGTTTAACTGCTTACCGGGTGCATCTTTCCTTGGCATTGCTATTCTTTGAAAAAGTGTCCAACCGTCTTGAATATTTAGGCATTCTGGTTTGAAGTTGATATATGCAGTATCTCCTTGCGCAACACTCTCATTTCGAGAAGTAAGTAACACCTTCCAACCTGCAGAATATTTACTCGTTTCATGATAACCAAACCCAAAGAGCTTAACGAATATAAGTCGTTGTTTCTATCTTTCTTTTTATTAAGTACATTAAGAGGTGACCTTTTTTGGGTGGAAATATTGGCTTGATTAGGTCCCAATCTTCTTCTTTCCATATGTCATCAAAAACAATTAATGACTTAGATGTTTCCAACAGACGAAAGAGTTCATCCTGGAGTTCAGCTTCATTCATATTCAGGATTTCATCTTTCCTTTCTTTAGATGTGAGATTCTGCAAGATTGTTTGCCACACAGATCTCCGGGTAAATTCCTGTGAGACACACACCCATGCGCGTCTTTCAAACTGATGTTTTACATCTTCGTGGTTAAAAACCTGTCTAGCAAGTGTGGTTTTACCAAGACCACCCATCCCGGTTATGGAGACCACTTGAACGT